TGAGTGGCGAGAGATCAGGAGGACTTCGGGGCGTGGGTGATACTTGGACACTTCCCGAGCGTTTCAGGAGGCATACAGCAAGGCTCCGGCCTTCTTTGGAATTTGGACACCAAGATCGCAGGACTGATGCTCATGAAACACCACGCATGTTGCTGGGAGTTCCGCCCGCTGACTTGGGTGGCATGGTTACTTCTATCATGTACGACATGAATGCCGGCGCAGGAAGGGATGTCCGGGAACAAGGACTTCGTCACCCGAAAGCGTGGATTTGATCGTGCCTTTGATGTGTTGTATCATGTGAATTGCCCAGTCTCATTTGAGAGTGTCAAATCTTCCGAAACGCTAGGTAGATATGAGGAGAACATGAGTGCTTGTTGAGTCAGGAAGTTGTGCATGCACCATTCTGGCAAGAGCGATTCTGGTGTGAAGTGTGAAATCGACCGTCGTCAGCACGCCAAAGGCATCAGATCCCAAGATCTGCAAATAAACCCAAGATCTCTACACTAGATCAATAGGAATCACAGTACACAAGAACCGCTCTGCATGACATGTTCTCTTAAATCATCCAGCTGCATCGACCATCCAGCCTTCCAGAGACGTTAATGGTGCTGACCCTTCGACACGTGTCACGTGACGTCGGGGTCGCGGACGGCGCGCCGACGTCACGTGCCGTCGGTGCTAACCGGGCAACCAGCTGCCGCGACATGGCGCCAAAGGAGGTGATGTGAGAATATATGAGGTTTCTTTTTGCCTTATGTCACAATGTCTTTTGTTTTTTTTGGGGGATGTTGGACGCTGGACTACCAAAGATCCTCCTTATGAGAGCATCATCGGGCATGAGAGCGCACGCTCTTTGGCACACGGTCATTCCAGGAGGCGTAAAGCAAGAGCCGCATCGTGAATTGTACTTGAGATTTGTAGCGCACCAAGATCATCGAGGATCGCAGGACTGATGCTTATGAACCTCTGAAACATTCATGCATGTTGTGGTTGTTTTTTGTCTCCCTGCCCTCCGGGGCCCAGTGTGGGGAGTAGTGAAGAAACTTCAGGGGCAGGACAGCGTATCTATCAGGGATTTGGAGTTCAAATCTGCTTGTGGGCTATCGTGGAGGGCATATCTTCTAACACCGAGGTGTGGAGGCCAACAGGGTTGGGCGTGTGGAGATGCTTCAGCATCAAAAGGGATCCAGTCCTGATGTGGAGAGACCTGTTGAGGTTTACATGTTCAGTCCCGTACTTCTCAGATCAAATGTCAGGACAGCATCATGACCATTGGGGGACGACCGGACGGCGCGCAGAACGGACGCTGGGTCGACCACTGGCAACGAGGTGCACAGGCGGACGACGAGGTGCACACAGGAACCAAGTACCTGGACACAGCTGGACACATGGAGGACTGGCAGGACATGGTGCTTGGATAGCTTGTGTTGATATGTTTAATGGAGCACAGAGCTCCTAGCTCTACATCGTCCTGAGATCGTCATCTCCCCTGACCATCATCAAGTGCATCCTCCCGAATCCTCCCACAACTGCGAGCAACATGTCTGAATTGTGACAACTTTGAGAACCCTTGATGCCAAGCTGAACAAGCTTACAACAGTATCAAGGATGTGATTTTGGGATGTTTGAGAAGATTTATTATCTTTGAGATGCGAGATGTGATTTTGGGCTCCAGTCTGGGATGCTAGGGGTTCGCTGGACCCATTTGGATCCAGAATCCAGAGAGCAGGTGACTGGAACAGCGACAGTTTCTGCGACAGTTTCAGTCACCTACCAACCTACCAGGACACCTTCTGATGTGAAGAGCTTCGGAGCAAGGGCAGCAAGTGGTTTGAAGTCCACTTCAGATTTGCAGAACACGTACTGTACCTGTACCTTGCTGGGTTTTCTTTTCACGTCTGCCCTCCGGGGCTCAGGATGACAGGACTGGGGTGAGGAGGATGCACCGCACCTAGAGATGCGAACACTTCATGGACCAGAGGTGCCATAGAGACTTCGGACTTCAAAGTGGCGCACAAATGATACACTCCCCTTTTGATGCCCCTTTTTGATCTACAAATCAGGCTGGTTTTCCCGTTCCATGGGTAATGACTCGGAGAGTACCTCGTTGCAAGCTGGATCTACATAACTGGATCGTTACTGTGGGCTGTCGACCGAATGGACGGATGGGCGCCAGGCGCGGTTTGGAACCACGGAACCGATGTGGTAAGGCCATCGCCCCCGAGGCCCTCGGCCTTCCCGAGTGGTGACACTGGAGCAGTGGAGGTTCGATGGGTTTCGGGGCCGTCTAAGACTCGGCACCCTGAAATATCTGAAAGCGGCATCGCTACGAACGAGCACAAAGCTACGAACGTAACAAGGACGCATAGTCAGGTGAAATGACCAAAGAGCTTGTGAAATATAGGTTTCATGGAATTGGACCAAAAAGGCTCATACCGGGTACGATATCTGCCACGACGGTTGCACTTCTTTGTCATGAATTTCTGATAGATGTTCAGCACATTTTTCTGACATTGTGGCCATTGCATGCCATGAACCTTCCAGCTCCTAACCAATCTCGCGGGGAAAGTCACAGGTGAATTGCATAGGCATGAAGAGGACATGAAGTCAAGAGAACATGAGGACATGTTCCGGTGTTGGTTTCTGGAAAGCAGTGGAGGACCATCTACCAGAGCAGACCAGAGCAGACCACCAGGCCCACCTTGCCGGATCCGCGCAAGAACTTCGATCTTCAGAGGCTGAACGTGAATGAAGGACCTGCAGATGTTGAAGAACTACTTCACCCAGGCTGCCAGCGTATATATATATATATACATACACATACAAGCATACAGATAATGCCATATATAACAGCAGAACGGTAGTATATTATATATACGGTATACGAGCTTCTTTGCTATTCTCTATTAATATGTATATATATATATTATGGTATATCAATGTATAATGATGACACAAATACTCCTATGACGGAGTCACATTTGATCTGCGTGTCGGAGCGCAGCCATCAGGTCATGCAAGTCACGCAATAAATTACTACTCACTAGCTGTTTGGAGATGTTGAGTACGTCTGGATCTTTAAATCTGCTAGCTATACAAACAAGTAGCTTCAAATTTGGTCAGTGATCAGTCAAGCAGCTGTGTGAATAGCCTTACACCTTGGTTCTTCTGTTCTTTGATGTTTCCCAGCCTTTGACAGACCTGGCTTGCCCACTGCACTTGGAAGCTTCTGGAAGCTGTCTCCAGCCGCAGATCTGGAATCAGGTTAAGGCCCAAAGCACCCCCCCAGGCTCAGCGCAGACCCACCCCATTCTTTTAGAACGTGCATGCGCCTTTTGCGCGCTGAGCCTGGGCTATATCTGTGGAGGGGGTTTGGACATCCAGCGTGGCCTTTCACCAGTGTTCGACCCTCTGGCACACTGCATGCTTTCATCCTAAAAAAGGGGCTGGACATCGGCTGGAAGCACCAAAAGGCTTGTGGAAGGGTGTGTCAACAACTCCAGCTTTCTGGGCTTGTGGAACTTGTGGAAGGGTGCGCACATAGACCTGCACACGAGTCGGAGATGGACGAGTTCATGCCGATCATGACATGAACGAAGAAGCAACATGAAGCAACTAGGGTGGAGGCCATCGCTTGTAGGGTGGAGGCCAGTGGAGACCAGGGATGACCTTCGCTCGCCCGGACTCCTTAGGCGAAGGCGACGTTCTTCCGCCGTCGTCGCCATGTCGGTGCGGGCGAACCGCGATCTGGAGGAACTTCATCTCAAAGAGCAAGGAACATCGGTTCTGAGGGAAGGAACATCGGTCGCCCATGGGAGACGGTTGTTCTTGGGCCTTGATGAAAACAATTGGAGCCGCTTAGTTCAAACTCTTTCAGACTCTCGAGTTCGTCACAGCCTTCGCACCAAAGAAGCTCTGAACGATTCTGAACCTAAAAGGTAACTTGGTGGTGTTCCTATGGTCGTTAACTATGCCGCCAGGTTCTTTGTGTGAACACACTCAAATCCCGAGTTTCCTGCCCAGCCCAAACCAATTGGGGCGAACGGTTGAACCAGACAGATGCAGTGGTCACTCGCCCACCTGATGCAGACTCGTGGTTCCTCGCTGTCACTGGTGGAACACGCTGTTTTCATGCTCTGTGGTCCTTTGCTCTATGACATGAGGTGGGGTCCTTCACCTGTTTTGCTTCCTCCTTCCTCCCTCCGAAAACGGTCCAACAGGAACGCTCGCCCGCGCTCGCGTGTTCGCTCCTCCCGGTCCGGCGCGAACGAACGACCCGCTGTCGCTGTCCATCCACCGAGTGATCCGTTGGCATCCTCAGTGGGGTAACCACTAAGGAAGGCAATTGACATGGATGTTTTTCCGGGCCCATGACCCGGACACGACCCAGTGACTCTGACCAAAGCCCGTGAGCGGGGTTACAACATCGAAGCTGAATCCCCGTGAACTCATAGCATTTAAAGATATATATATATATAGGCAGTCAAGCAAAGATGCGGGTGAACTACCCTAGCTTCTTCTTCCTGCTCCTCCTTCCTCCTCATGCAAATCAGAGATTCACAGTGTTGTTTGCAATTGAGTCAGCTAAAAACGCCCTTTCACACCTCCACATCCATCCCCGCGCTGCCCACCGCTGCCACGCCACATCCAAATCGGACCCTTGAGGGAGCCTCCGTTTTGGGACGAGAAACCCCTTTCCGCCCGGAGATCACCGAAAGACCGTCTCTCCCCGACGGGTTTGGGCTCTCCTCCCCGGTCACCGGTCCATGGTCTTTTCGTCACCCAAGGGGGGGGGGCATTTTCCCTGCGAACGGAGCCAGAAGAAACGCAACGAACCAAAGACTAACTGGCATGACGAACTGACAACAAGGGCATCCCTAGACTTCCAAGACCATTAAAAACATGGTTGAGCTGTTTTTTTTAGCGCAAAATCCTTAGTTGGTTCGGTAAAGCCTATTAATTTAGTATATAGTGGTTGGAAGTCTAGGGGCATCGCATGTTCTTAGGTCGATCCGAAGCTTCGGAGGCGGAGGAAGCCTCTTCCGGCCGCGAGAAGCTGTTAAAGCTGTCTGGTCGAAGAACATGGAGCCAACAGTTCCAGTGGTTTTGCTAACAAAAACCCTCTTCTACACCCTCTTTGACCAAAGCTTGGCAAACAAACTGAACCAACCCACCCTTCTTGAACCCACCCCATGCTTCGAGGCAATAGGGACAACCGGATCGGTACACAGGTCCTAAGATCATCCCAAACATCCAAAGGTGCCAGTGCTCCGAACGAGTCGTTCCAAGAGTGGCTGGTGAACGAGTCCTTCAACACTGGTTCCACCGCGGTCGTTCCCACCGAGTCGTGGGGGTGCCTCCCCGTCACAGCTCCGGTCGGAGCCACCATGACGCTTCCGTCTCCGGACGAGGCGGCGCCGTCTTCGCGGGCTGGGTCTTCGTGGGATGGGTGGACGCTTCGGCCCCGTTGAGCCCGTCCCTGGGAGCGACCCGTTCGCCGACCCGACGAAACACGGCGACCCGGACTGGATGGAACCCATGCGTCATCTGGGGGGCCGGAATCAGACGGTGACATTTCTTTGCATCCGCCTTCATACGATGGTACCCCATGGATTGGCTTTTGGACCATAGAGGCATCGAGATTTGGTTGGTGGATACCCCAAGTGATACCTCCACGTGATACTCCACCGGTCGTAGTGGGTTTCCTGGCACTAACCCCCTCGAATTCCTCTTCGGTCGTTGTCTGTCGGGTCTCCCAGGTCGATTTCCTCGATCCAACGCTCCGGTCAAAACGCGAGGTCTTCCACGGTGTCGTTTGGACCAAACGATCCTGTCTGCGGGTCGATCCTTTTGTCAGCCACTTTTGGTTGTTTAGAGGCTTGGACATCCAGATGGTTCACGACCTTTTCCATGCTGCTCTTAAAGAACAAATTAAAGAACAAAGAAGTAAGACAAACAGTAAGACAGTAAGACAAGCAAAGTATTCTTTTCCATACCTTTTCAGATTGATCTCTTTCCCTCTGCTTTTCGTTTCGTCCTGAACCAACCAAGCTGACCCGTGGAAAACACCCACGGCGGAACCACGGCAACGCGAGGAACGGGACGCGCGGAACGGGACGGCGCACGAAGCCGAAGGAAGACGCCGGAAGCGAAGACGCCGCCGCTCTGTCAGTGTCATGTGAACAGTGTCTTTTCGTCCATGAGGTAGAATCTGAAGAACATAGAGTCATTGTCAGTGTTCATCAGCTGTCGTCTCTGCACCCTCCGGGGTTCTGTGTCAGAGACTTGTCGCAACCTCAGATGAGCTTTAGTTCTTTAAGAGCCTGGTACGCTCGTACTCGTTGATGCAAACCTGCGGCGGACAATGTAATGTTGAAGGGAATGGCGGTATGGTATGATCATGTTTGATGTCGTTTTGAAT